TTTTTCCTTGAAGCCTACACTATAATGCGAGTCAAAAAAACTACACGACCCAAAAACCAACAGTGCTTCCGCTCTGAGTTTTTCACCCGCGCTCAAAAACAATAATGGAGGGACCAACAGTTAGTGGCGAACTTGACTTCGAAACGTTTGATTTGCAACGCAAGCTGAGAAGTAAGGATGTATCTGTAAAACTCACGGAGCTGACAGGAAAGTCTCAGATATTACCGAACTTGCTGCCAAGAGGCTGCTAGCAATCCCAGTAAAAGGTACACCTTTCTAAGCGTAGTTTCAGTGCAGCTGGAAGACTCATTGAGGAGAGACGCTCCAACCTCAGTCCAGACAATGTAGAAACACTTTTGTTCCTGCATAGCAACATATAAGGTTCCTGGACTCATCCAAGAATGTGTTTAACATTCAATAATATTAGTTCTTATAGTAAGTTGTTTTCTTGCAAATGGGCAAGTCTGGAAGTTTACCATATCCAGCTTTTTGAGCCATTTGTGTGTGTTATCTAAATTGTGAATGTAATGCCTTTATGCACTTTTTTGTCAATTAAGCATAGATCTTTTTTAAGTTTCAGCAATTTGAAAATTAAAAGTAACTTCTTTGTTCAAAAGGAAACAATTAATACATTTCTAAAAGGCAATATTGTACATTTTGTTTATTCACCTAAGATAAGCATGGTCTGTTTCCTTGTTTGTTACTTTTATTATGTATTTATAATTATTATAACTTTTACTTTAACTGACCTTTACTAAAGTTAGAAACAGGAACTTAACTTAACTTAACCTTCATAGAAATTCAGATTCAATGTATTGGCAGAAATCTTATTGAAGACAAGAAGAATGGGAGTGGTGCAGGAGCGGGAGTCATTCTGAATGGGAGCGGGATGGGAGTGGGAGTAATTTCACCAGGAATGGAACGGGACAGGATTTAGATTTCTACTCTGGCCCGGGATCGGGACGGGACACAATTTTTTTCTGTGGGAGTGGGACGGGACAGGAGTGAAAATCCACTCCTGTGTCAGTCTCTACAGGGCACAGAAAACAAGTGAGATCCAAAAACATTTCATGACATGTCTGTTAGGGCTTAGGCAGGCTCAGAGAATCAGGAGGCAGAATCAGGTAAGAATCAGGCAGGCAGACAGAAAGGTTTCAGGAAGTCTGGATTAAACTCACAAGGGCTTATAATAATCTGGCACCAGTGACCGGTCTAAGAGCTGATTATATAGTCATGCAAAAGGGTGAATCAGATGAAGGCTGGTTGGAAACAGGGCCGATTTGACAGGTGTGTTGAATTCTGACCTTTTGTAGTAACCAGGAAAGTTCGACTGCATGTGGTAATTTTTTGCAAATATTTGAAGAATAATCAGTTATATCACTCAGTTGAAGGAAAAATTACCTAAATTTAGTTCTTATATAATGCTGTTACTCTCAACACTGTAAATATGCTTATGAAAAGTACTAAAATATCACTTTCACCTCCTCACTTTTGCACAAACAAATACACACATCCTTTGACCTCAAAAAACACACCAGATGACAAACACATAGACCACACTGCTATTTCATAGACTGCTCTAGCATAAGCTATACTTTACGTAAATTCCACCCGTTACAATTCTGTTCATATTTTTTAAGAGTGTTCTAAATCTTCCAAAAGTGTTTAATATCATAAAATCAAACTAGTAATTCTTCAGAGGGTGCTTACATTATTTTTTAAGTTTGCATAAACACAAAAAGCAAAAGTCAAAGTAAAGGAGGAAAACATGGGAATGCAAATTGA